TGGTCGATGCTTCGAAGAACCTAAGAATGTTAACGCCAATATGCAGCTTCTCCATTATTTGAGAGGCGCTGCACACAATTTTAACTATTAATTACTAATATCCTGTTGTTGTATTATACATAATTTCTTCGTTGTATTATACTGAACGTGCTTGTATAGAGGGTGAATGAAACAAATAGCAAAATGATTGCATCATGCAACTATGATGAGTGGTATCCTTCAATTTCACGATAGTGGAAACAGAGGTGAACTAACGGCCGGAGGTGAGCCGAGGCAGGAGTCACCGAAATACTGTACAGACGACCAGCAGTGCGGCGAGCAAATTAGCGCGTACTCTGAAGCGAGCAAATATATTTAATGCAATCAGTCTGTTCGGATGGCTCGCAAAAGAAATTTATAATTCTGAACGACGTAATCAAAACAACCGGGCAAACAATGTCCATCATCCGTTGCGAGTCTCGACATTAATCGTGCCAGCTATAGATGTGTCGGTGTCACAGCGCCAATAATGATAAATAAGTTGCATGATAGTCGCTAAATGCACACGCTCAGTGAGTACTCGACCGCCAACTGACTTCGCAGGCACAACCGGCCGACAATGCTACAACTTCAACCGAAAGCGTCGCGAGCAATTATTCAGAAAGTCTAACTGAAAGGTCAAAGGGTTTGGCGCTCTGTCAGAAAAAAGACGTAACAACAAGCGCATATATGTGAACATTAAGTTTTATCTTGCGACACTCTGAGAGGCAACCAGAATTCTGTGTATAAGTGTAAGAAATTTGATGAAAACACCGACTATTCAAGCAATTTTACTACTACATTCAGTAAAACTGAAGCAAAGAGTTGTTGCAGTACAAATAATCATAACGGACACAAAAACAACAACGGCCAACCCAGTGAATTCACATCGCATCACAATATCATTATGCAAAATTAATACAGCTATTTTAACGTACTCCATCATGCGAAAGGATCAAGAACAGTCATCCATCTATCCGGAACTCCATCCGCTCCATCCACTCTACGCCATCCAGCGCACGTAGCTGAAGGCCACAAGCACGCCGCAATGCCAAAAGTTTGTAGCAAAAAGAGGACAGATATATCATGCAACAAAGTGACGATGATACACAAAAAAAACAACGATCGCGAACCGAGTAAATTATGAATCAATGAAGCACTAATATGTAAATTTTGAAAAACTGCAAACATATTACACATAGGGAAATCCGCTCTATTGCGCGAAAAGGACCACTTTTATTCACTTCGTTAAGGAAGTCCACTTTACCCATCAAGTCCAATTCGACGACGGTCTCTGCAGAACTTGCGTTGACAGCCATTGAATCAGCAGCAATGCTATTTTCTTGGAGAGCATACGACCTCATAATGTGGGTGGAGTTTTTTAAAATTTGATTGGAAGAATGTTTATCACAGCGGGATTGCACAAATAATGTTGTTTCACGATTCTATCTTCCTCACTTCCACCGATGCTTCTCCTTTCGGGTCGCGGAGACAGATGCGGTAAACAGAGCTTCCAACCTATCCGACCCTGCGACAGAGCCTGAGCGTTGACAGAATACAACTGGAGTGTGGAACTGACGCTCACCACATATTTGTACCAAGTTAATCTTGACCGTACAATGAGCCTTCTGCTGGTCGGATTTGCAAGGAACAGTTGCATAGCCTTCCTTTCTGGAGGCATTCGCAACACATGCCCAAGCCATCGCAGCTG